AAGATGAGTCTTAAAGCTGTTTTGCTGCATAATGGCAATGTTTTGCCATCATTTCCAGTTGGTCATGCAGACCATATGAAGGAAACCTATGACAACATGAAACAACTTTTGAGGTGCATAAACTGTAACCAACATCAGTGGCAGCTTTCTAGCTATTTGAAGGTTGTTGCTCTCTTACTTGGTCTTTGGACTGGATACACAAAGTACTGCTGCTGTTTTCTCTTCGAATGGGATAGTCGAGTGAGAGATTCCCACGACATCAAGATAGATTGGCCACTGTGACAGTCATTGGAGCCTGGAGGAAAAGTGTTCAGCATCCACCACTTGCTGAATCAAGGAAGATTTTGTCACCACCCTTACACATCAAGCTGGGTCTGATGAAGAACTTTGTCAAAGCCATGGACAAACCACAAGCAGCTTTCAAGTATCTCCGTGGAAAATGTCCAAGGTTAAGTGAAGCTAAGTTAAAGGAAGGTGTCTTTGTTGGTCCTCAGATTCGTGAATTTCTTCGAGATGACGCATTTGACAGTGCACTGGGTGGCAAGGAAAAGACGGCATGGAGAGCCTTCCAGTTAGTGGCAACAAAATTTATCGGAAACAAATTTTCTCGGAAACAACAACGTCAGACAACTACAGAGAATTGGTGGAGAACCTCCTCAAGGCATTCAAAAGCCTTGGGTTGCAACATGTCACTCAAGATACATTTTTTCGCACTCTCATCACCTCGATGTTCTCCCTCCGAACTGCGGAGCAGCGAGCGACAAGCATGGTGAGCGATGTCACCAGGACATCGCGACAATGGAGAGACGATATCAGGGCAAATGGAGCCCATCAATGCTCGCAGACTATTGCTGGACAGTGACGAGATGCTCAATTTAATGAATACAAGAGACAAGCCAAGAAGCGCCGAGTAGTCACTGAATAAGGACTAAACTATATACTTATGTATAATAGATTTGTTGCCTTTTGTTTCATAATACATTCTATCTATATAACCTTTAGCTCATTTTAAGGTGTTACATGAACAGGACAGGTGACATGTTATTATGTAAAGCAACCATAAACACATGAAAACACCTTCGTTTTACAATTAATGACTAAAACTCTATCTACACAATATACATAGATGTACTATGTAAAAACATAAATATCTTGGGCACAGTTTCCAATCATCATTAGACCTCCTTTGCCAGTACCAAAATATAGTAATAGGGTTTTTCCCCTTCTTTCTGGCAACAAAAACTGAAATCTTTTCACAAGGAATCGTGTTGTGCATTAACCACAATACTTGTGGTCAAACTGCAAACAACAACAAAAACAATCAGTCGTTTTAATTGTCATATTTGAATTCAGCACATCAAAATCCATAATGAACAGCGCATTTCATCTCGGAAGCAGACGACGTCTAAAACATTGTAGACCACCGTGACCGGCGTCCATGCAACAACAGGCAGGACGTGGGATTGGTGGATCGGTGCATTGCCTCGTTACACGTTGCACTTCGGCCTGTTCTGGATGACCCACAGCAGCACGTTACCACTGGTAAGTTTCTCATTTTTCCATTTGTGCATCATCAGGTATCAGAATCTGCTGCTGCTGCTGCTGCTGCCACGGTTTGTGCAGTGAATGATGCGATTTAGGGTGGACCGTGAGCAGCTTCCTGGGAGATCAAACCCCAGGGGGAAAAAAAAATCCGCAAATCGGACGCGGCAGCTCACGCCTGAGAGCTTGACTCACCCCCTGCAAGGCACCCTCAGGGTTCACCCCGCAACATCTACGGCAACGGACTCCGTGTTGACTCTCCGGCGAGGTCCCTGAGATATTCGGTTCGCCTTCTCCTAAGGACTCCGAGGTCAAGGCTGATCGGGATTTTTGCCAGAGTGCAGATCCCACGCTTTGGAACGCTTTTCTAATGAATACAATCAAGCGTCGTTAGATATATTCAAGTTCGGTCTTGAAACCCCAACTCCTGCAACTGGCATTTAGCCTCTCCACTTGTTCTGGCCATTTACCCGGCTGGTTCTCTTTATTTTGTGGCTTTCCATACACGGTGGCGCATTCGTGGGATCTACGAATGAAATGTCTGAAATGGCTTGACCTCGGTCGCTGCACGTGCTGGTCACGCTGCACGTGGTGGTCACGTGGTGGTCACGCTGCACGTGGTGGCACGTGGTGGTCACGCTGCACCTGGTGGTCACGCTGCACGTGGTAGTCACGTGGTGGTCACGCTGCACGTGCTGGTCACGCCGCACGTGCTGGTCACGTGGTGGTCACGCTGCACGTGGTGGTCACGTGGTGGTCACGCTGCACGTGGTGGTCACGCCGCACGTGGTGGTCACGCCGCACGTGGTGTGCACGTGGTGGTCACGCTGCACGTGCTGGTCACGCCGCACGTGCTGGTCACGTGGTGGTCACGCTGCACGTGGTGGTCACGTGGTGGTCACGCTGCACGTGGTGGTCACGCCGCACGTGGTGACAACGCTGCACGTGATGGTCACGTGGTGGTCACGCCGCACGTGGTGTGCACGTGGTGGTTACGCTGCACGTGGTGGTCAGGCTGCACGTGGTGGTCACGTGGTGGTTACGTGGCACGTGGTGGTCACGCTGCACGTGCTTGTCACGCCACACGTGGTGTGCACGTGGTGGTTACGCGGCACGTGGTGGTCAGGCTGCACGTGGTGGTCACGTGGTGGTTACGTGGCACGTGGTGGTCACGCTGCACGTGCTTGTCACGCCACACGTGGTGTGCACGTGGTGGTTACGCGGCACGTGGTGGTCAGGCTGCACGTGATGTGCACGTGGTGGTCACGCTGCACGTGGTGGTCACGTGGTGGTTACGTGGCACGTGGTGGTCACGCTGCACGTGCTAGTCACGCCACACGTGGTGGTCACGTGGTGGTCACGCTGCACGTGGTGGTCAGGCTGCACCATTTGCTGCTTTTTGTGTTCTTTAGTTTGCTGTCCTTCCCCCCGCATCTCCGATATAGCACGGTTGGCTACGTACGGTACGAAAAAAGTTCAACGCGCATGCATACAGCGGCAATACAATGGCGGGGTGGGACGAACGAAGCCACCTAGTTGCTGTACTGCACAGTGCTCCCAGTGGGTTGTGTCGGCTGGGAGCGAATTCGCAAACAAGAAAACAAAAACATCTCCATGTGATCCACCAAGATCGGGACCACAACAACATCATCATCATCATCGCCGTCGTCAACAACATCACCACCAACACCATAGCCATCATCATCATTAACATCACCACCAACACCATAGCCATCATCATCAGCAACATCGTCAACATCACCACCAACACCATAGCCATCATCAGCAGCAGCATCATCATCATCATCGCCGTCGTCATCAACATTACCACCAATACCATAGCCAGCAGCAGCATCATCATCATCGCCGTCGTCAACAACATCACCACCAACGCCATAGCCATCATCATCAGCAGCATCATCATCATCACCACCAACGCCATAGCCATCAACATCAGCAGCATCATCATCATCACCACCAACGCCATAGCCATCATCGTCAGCAGCATCATCAGCAGCAGCATCAAGAACAAAATCATCATCATCAACAACATCACCAACAATACCATAGCCATCGTCATCAGCAGCAGCATCAACATCATCATCAGCATTAACAACATCATCGTCATCATCATCGCCATAGCCATCCCTCCCCCAAAATAGAGAGTGCTCCACCCCGTAACTCGTGCGCTGCGCATCTAAAATAGAGACCCCGTAATCACGCACGCGCACACGCACGCGCGCGCGCGCGCCTGTCCGTGCTCGCGACCGCGCACGGCCACCAACACTCGCGTCGATTCATCAGAACCGGTCCCGGGCCTCCCCCCCGGCCTCAAATTAGCAGCGCACCTGGCTGTGGTGTGCGGTAAACATCGCCCGTACGAGGGAGACAAAGGCGGACGGGTGCCGCGTGATGCTGTGCCATCCTCACCACCCCCTCCCCCCCCGCTCCTTCGCGTGCCGTGTCGGCCTTCATCGGTGCTACTCGCTAACAGCACTTGCCCCCAACGGCATCTGAAGGCTACATGGGGGATATTTGTCTTTGTACGATCATACAGCACGGTATTTTATTCCCGGTTAGAAGTGAATTCTGACCCGGCTCTGGGCCACCCCTAGATCGACTCGGCCTTAAATAGGCAGGTGACCTGGTGCGGCGTGTAACGATCAGCACGGGGGGGGGGAGACAAAGGCGGCCCGGACGTGAGCGGGCGTACCACTGGCCAGGACCTCCATCCTCTCGTGCGCCCTGCCGGCCGGCCTTAATAGGTGCTCGCTAACAGCGCTTGCACCTGAACCAAGCGAGATCCGATGAATCGTTATCTCTCCATGAGATGTATAACAAAGACAAAGTTCCCCCGTACGGCCTCTAACAGACTGTTGGGGCAAGTGCACCTATGAAGGCCGACACGGCACACGAGGGGTGGGTGGCCAGCACCACGCCCGGCCGCCTTTGTCTCCCCAGTGGCGATGTTTACTACACACCGCACCAGGTACTCATTTAAGGCTGAGTCGACCTAGGCAAGTCTCAGGACCGGTACAGATAATCGTCACTGGTGTTGGCCGTGAGCGGGAATCGAACCCGGGTCGCCGGGTTTGTAGTGCAGTGCGCAGTGCACCCACCACTACGCTACCGCTCCCCACAAAGTAATGTCCACACACACAGACACACACACATACACACACACACAGACACACACACAGACACACACACAGACACACACAGACACACACACAGACACACACACACAGACACACACACACAGACACACACACAGACACACACACAGACACACACACAGACACACACACACACAGACACACACACAGACACACACACAGACACACACAGACACACACAGACACACAGACACACAGACACACACAGACACACACAGACACACACAGACACACACAGACACACACAGACACACACACAGACACACACACAGACACACACACAGACACACACACAGACACACAGACACACACACACAGACACACACACAGACACACAGACACACACAGAGTGGTGTTATTAGGGGTCCAATCCAGGGCTTACATTCGATCCGGATCTCTCCGCCACTAACAAATTATCACCCACACGCCCGGCACCACCACGTCTAGTTATCCTTCTCGTCACGAGAGAAGTCACGTGTCTACTTCCAGCATTAATGGCTTGTGTTCCAGCATCGGTTCTGTGATGGTTCCATATCGCGTTGAGTTCCGCTACAACTGTTCCATTGCAGGTGCTGTAATGGATCAAATATGTACTGCGTTCCCAACATGTCTTGTTCCATCCTGGGATTCAGAGTCACGGCTGCATTACGGGAGCCATCACAGGTCCTGTGATGAGTTCCGATCTCTCGTTCCACCGTACGTCCAATGATGGCTCCCCCAGTGGCGGTCTTCCACCCGCGGGTTTCGACTCCGGCTGGAACTTCGCTCCGACTTGCGGATCCTTCCACGGCCTCCTCGTTCAGCCACCACCTCCATCATCACCCCACGCACCTCGTCAACGCCATCAACTGCATGACCCCTTGCGACGTTCCATGTCGCGACCCTGCCGGGCGGGGGGGCGGGAGAGGTCAGTGATTGAATTGAGCCGTGATTTCGTTCGAGCAGTGAACGATTCAATAATGCGACGATCTTAGTGAATTGTTCAGTCATTAAATCCGTTCACACTATTCGCCGGTCAGTCATACACACACAGTCGGTCAATTAGTACAACATTCATTCCTTCGGTTAATTACCGCTTTCGCAATCCACGCGGTCAATGAGTAAATCAGAAAAATAATTCGGCAAATTACGAAATCGGTCGGTGAGTCACTCAGACAATGACTAAGTCGGTCATGGATCGCGTATACGATCGTTAGATACATTCCGTACCACCCAATTCGATTGTTGCATTAGGTATTCACTCATTCAGGCATCAGTCGACCGTTCACTCATTTCAATCGCTAACTATTGAATGGAAGGAAACATTTATATAATAGGCGACGTTTCGGGCAACGGTCGTTCTCCAGAGTACATAGAGAGGCGAGTAAAGAGACAGAGTTGACTCTGCGTGTGCGCCACTGCTAACGCAACAGCATCACCACCATCACTACCAGATGCTTTGTTGAATGAACTGATTGTTGTTGTTGTGGTGGTGTTTAGTCTGTTGTCCTTCCCCCGCACCTCCAATTAGCACGGTTGGCTACGTACGGTGCAATAGAAGTTCAACGTGCATACAGTCAAGTCACTCATTCCCTAGTCCGACGCGCCTATCATTTCATTTACAGACCGTCATCAATGAACTTCTGGACGAAGGCCTATTCAAGGCATGTATCACGGGGGGATATTTGACCATACTTCACCGCGCCGGTCTATGCGGGGTTGGTGAGGTGGTAAGGCACCAGTCTCGGGCTAAGAGATCACTCGCACTGACGTCAAAAGTCGCCCGGCTCCGCTCACCCGGCGAGCGTGTCATTCCGTAATTCATTCCTAGCGTGTCATTCCGTGAGTAATTCATTCCTAGCGTGTCATTCCGTGAGTAATTCATTCCTAGCGTGTCATTCCGTGAGTAATTCATTCCTAGCGTGTCATTCCGTGAGTTATTCATTCCTAGCGTGTCATTCCGTGAGTAATTCATTCCTAGCGTGTCATTCCGTGAGTAATTCATTCCTAGCGTGTCATTCCGTGAGTAATTCATTCCTAGCGTGTCATTCCGTGAGTCATTCATTCCTAGCGTGTCATTCCGTGAGTAATTCATTCCTAGCGTGTCATTCCGTGAGTAATTCATTCCTAGCGTGTCATTCCGTAATTCATTTCTAGCGTGTCATTCCGTGAGTAATTCATTCCTAGCGAGTCATTCCGTGAGTAATTCATTCCTAGCGTGTCATTCCGTGAGTAATTCATTCCTAGCGTGCATTCCGTGAATTATTCATTCCTAGCGTGTCATTCCGTGAGTAATTCATTCCTAGCGTGTCATTCCGTGAGTAATTCATTCCTAGCGTGTCATTCCGTGAGTAATTCATTCCTAGCGTGTCATTCCGTGAGTCATTCATTCCTAGCGTGTCATTCCGTGAGTAATTCATTCCTAGCGTGTCATTCCGTGAGTAATTCATTCCTAGCGTGTCATTCCGTAATTCATTTCTAGCGTGTCATTCCGTGAGTAATTCATTCCTAGCGTGTCATTCCGTGAGTAATTCATTCCTAGCGTGTCATTCCGTGAGTAATTCATTCCTAGCGTGCATTCCGTGAGTTATTCATTCCTAGCGTGTCATTCCGTGAGTTATTCATTCCTAGCGTGTCATTCCGTGAGTAATTCATTCCTAGTGTGTCATTCCGTGAGTAATTCATTCCTAGCGTGTCATTCCGTGAGTTATTCATTCCTAGCGTGTCATTCCGTGAGTAATTCATTCCTAGCGTGTCATTCCGTGAGTTATTCATTCCTATCGTGTCATTCCATAATTCATTTCTAGCGTGTCATTCCGTGAGTAATTCATTCCTAGCGAGTCATTCCGTGAGTAATTCATTCCTAGCGTGTCATTCCGTGAGTAATTCATTCAATGACTTATTCACTCAGCCTTCTCGCGAAGCGTGCCTGTGAGCAGCGCCTATCGGTGTCGAGAGGAGGCGTGGTGGGTAACGGTGGTGATGCTGACGATGGGGACGATGTTGATGGTAGTAGTGGATGTGGTGATGGTGGTGGTGATGCTACCGATGATGATGATGATGGTGGTGGCGATAGTGCCGATGATGCCGATGGTGGTGGTGCCGATGGTGGTGGTGCCGATGGTGGTGATAGTCATGATGGTGGTGATAGTCATGATGGTGCCGGTGATGGTGATGGTGGCGGTGATGGTGGCGGTGATGGTGATCGTGCCGGTGATGGTGGCGGTGATGGTGATGGTGGTGGTGATGGTGCCGGTGATGGTGCCGGTGATGGTGATGGTGATGGTGCCGGTGATGGTGATGGTGATGGTGCCGGTGATGGTGCGGTGATGGTGGCGGTGATGGTGCCGGTGATGGTGATGGTGGCGGTGATGGTGGTGGTGATGGTGATGGTGCTGGTGATGGTGCCGGTGATGGTGCCGGTGATGGTGCCGGTGATGGTGGCGGTGATGGTGCCGGTAATGGTGATGGTGGCGGTGATGGTGCCGGTGATGGTGATGGTGCCGGTGCCGGTGATGGTGCCGGTGATGGTGATGGTGCCGGTGCTGGTGATGGTGCCGGTGATGGTGCCGGTGCTGGTGATGGTGCTGGTGCTGGTGATGGTGATGGTGCCGGTGCCGGTGATGGTGCCGGTGATGGTGCCGGTGCTGGTGATGGTGCTGGTGATGGTGCTGGTGCTGGTGGTGCATGCACCGTGTCTATATCGAGCCGCCTGCTCCTGCCTTGTCGGCTCGCGAGATCTGTCCCTGCCTCAGCAGGTGCCGAGTATTATTAGGGGCTCGCGCGCAACGCATGCGAACAGGTGCCAGCCCCCCCCCCCCCCCCCCCACAAACATAGCCCCTCCCCTCGATCACCCCCCCCCCCACAAACATAGCCCCTCCCCTCGATCACCCCCCCCCCCACAAACATAGCCCCTCCCCTCGATCACCCCCCCCACACAAACATAGCCCCTCCCCTCGATCACCCCCCCCTCCCACAAATATAGCCCCTCCCCTCGATCACCCCCCCCCCCACACACAAACATATCCCCTCCCCTCGATCACCCCCCCCCCACAAACATAGCCCCTCCCCTCGATCACCTCCCCCCCACACAAACATAGCCCCTCCCCTCGATCACCCCCCCCCCCCACACACAAACATAGCCCCTCCCCTCGATCACCCCCCCCCCCACAAACATAGCCCCTCCCCTCGATCACCCCCCGCACAAATATAGCCCCTCCCCTCGATCACCCCCCCGCACAAACATAGCCCCTCCCCTCGATCCCCCCACACCCCAAGGAGTCGAGGGAGTTGCTTCACCAAACTCCACCTCTTGGGAGACCGCCGCTACACGAGTCGACGCGGTGATGGCGATGATGGCGATAATGATGATGGTGGTGGCGATAATGATGGTGGTGATGGTGGTGATGATGATGATGGTGGTGGTGGTGGTGATGATGATGATGGTGGTGGTGATGATGGTGGTGGTGATGATGATGATGGTGGTGGTGGTGGTGATGATGGTGGTGATGGTGGTGGTGGTGATGATGGTGGTGATGGTGGTGGTGGTGATGATGGTGGTGGTGATGATGGTGGTGATGGTGGTGATGATGGCGATAATGATGGTGATGATGATGGTGGTGATGATGGCGATAATGATGGTGATGATGATGGTGATGATGGCGATGATGGCGATAATGATGGTGGCGATGATGGTGGCGATGATGGCGATGATGATGATGGCGATGATGGTGATGATGATGGTGATGATGGTGATAATAATGATGGTGGTGATGATGGCGATAATGATGGTGGTGATGATGGTGGTGATGATGGCGATGATGATGGTGATGATGATGGTGATGATGGTGGTGATGGTATCAGCTATTTCTTTGAGCTATCATTTGTGATGGCCAGGTCGCTTCTGAACAAGAAGCTAATGGCTCATCGGTGGGATTTACCTGGTCAAATAAAATAGTTGAGTGTTGCATCTGTATGGTGATGTTTTAGTGATGTGTTTACCTTTCCTGTACTTTGCACTCCTATCTGTCTTTCTGTATTGTTTGTTGTTGTTGCAACGTTCTGATTCATTGGCGCCTACTGGACGTCTGTGGAAAAAAAGAGCTTTATAGCTCATCAGATTCCTCTAGGATGAATACATATTGTGATTCTCTCCACCTCCTCCTCCACCTTCTCCTCCACCTCCTCCTCCACCTCCTCCTCCAACCACCTCTTTCTCCTCCTCCTCCACCACCTCCTCCACCTCCTCCACCACCACCTCTTCCTCCTCCTCCACCACCACCTCCACCACCTCCTCCTCCAACCACCTTTCTCCTCCTCTTCCTCCTCCTCCACCACCACCTCCTCCTCCACCACCTCCTCCTCCAAGACACTCGTGCACGAGTCGGCGACTTGCGGCTCCTGAGCTGCCTGTGGTGGCACTTTAACAACAAGGGACTGCAGTGGCGGATTTTTGAAATTCGTAAAAAAATCGTCTGGTTGCCGACCCCTGACCATGGAAGTCCAGTTCACCACGGGAGTCCAGTTCACCACGGGAGTCCAGTTCACCACGGAAGTCCAGTTCACCATGGGAATCCAGTTCACCATGGGAGTCCAGTTCACCACGTGAGTCCAGTTCATCACGTGAGTCCAGTTCACCATGGAAGTCCAGTTCATCACGTGAGTCCAGTTCACCATGGAAGTCCAGTTCACCACAGGAGTCCAGTTCACCACGGGAGTCCAGTTCACCACGGGAGTCCAGTTCACCACGGGAGTCCAGTTCACCATGGGAGTCCAGTTCACCATGGGAGTTCAGTTATCATGGAAGATCGCTCACTTAAGTATAAATGTGTCGTAACCCTCCACCACCCGACACAGCCAGTAAGGGATTTGTCACGTAAACAAAACGCCAATTAGTTGACTAC